TTCACATCATAAGTGCGTGCGGGATCTCGCCCCGCTAGGAAGGTTAAGATCTTTGTTCTGACGAAGGTCAGAGTTTAAGATCTTTGTTCTAACAGTTTAAGATGTTCGTTCTGACGAAGGTGAGAGCTTAAGAACTTTGTTCTGTTGAAGGTCAAAGTTCAAAATCCTTGTTCTAACTGTAAACACCAGATGTTCTCGATCCAATGACCCATATTTATTTTGGACCAACATATTTGTGATTTCTTCAGAGCTTTGTTGCATCCTCATCGTTCTGTCATTACAGAGGTGTTAAATCTGTGGTCTCAGGAATACATTCATCATGGCTCGCCCCTCCTTCAAATTAAACTCTGTCAGGAAGCATCACTGAGGGGCAACTTTCTACAACTAATCAATATTCTCTGTAATCATTTGTATGCTGCACGTGTCGAGACCTGACTGCTGTCACGGCTCTTTAATGGGCACAGCTTTCAAACCCGAGCTGACCGACCGCTCACTCAAAGGCAGAATCATTTGGTGGAAAAGTCCAACGGCTGCCGGCAGCAGGAAGCTGTCCGGGGAGGTAAAACCTCCTGCGGTCTTCTGACGGACTGATTCATCAATCCAAGGCTGAGTGGGAGGAAAGTGACAGAGACTGAAAGGCCTCCCTGCAGACATCAGTCAGGGTTTGATCCCGGAGCGTGACGGGTCAGGACATTTCCACGGTAACAAAGGTCCCGACAGATCCTGCAAGGACACGGAGAGTCACGAATGACCAGACGAGACGGTTCTGTTTAAGGTACCAGTTGGTTTTATTATTACAATGCACACTTTGAGAAGCAAAAAAGCCTTGGCATCCTGCAAAAACCGAGCCACTCGCCGGCACCGACCCGTCGCTGAGCGGACCACACCACTTCTTATTATTGCAAAGGGTCACTTTCAGTCAAAACTCCAACAGAAACATGGAAAACGTTTGTGATTACATAAAAACATGGGTCGTCTCATCTCTGCGTGACGGGAGATAGAACCTCTGAAACGCAAAAACACACTAAAATAAAACAGATATATGTGACCCATGACTCGAAAAATAATGAGTATACAAATGAATCATAAACTAAAAGTCTACAAATCTTAAATCACCAAAAACTAATCATTAATTTGGTTTCTTTCATAATAAAACTAATTGATGGAAAAATCTAACTAACAGATTTTCTCCAGTTTTTCTGTGAAGTTAAAAGAAAATCTGTGAATTTCAGGCACAGTCATAATTAGAACCATCTACCCCCCCCCCCCCCCCACACCCACCCAGTGGCACAGGAACAAATTATATGTAAGGTACATTTAATCAAATCTGAGGACAAAGGCAGAAATAAAATCATGTGGAATGACATTAAACCACTATTAGATCAATGACTTGGTCTCCAGATCAACATGGAGTAAAGTTTAGGTGAACATAGTTTAGATAAAATGGACTAAAGTTGTTTTAATTAAACAGATTTGACTGAATTTCAATTTAAATGTCACAGTTTACCAGCGTGTTATTTAAATGAAGTATCCATTTTAACTTCATTAGATCCAAATAGTTTCTGGATGTGAAAAAGGAAGATTTGTAAAAACAAAGTTTAGTGAGAAAATAAAAATCCTCGCTGAAGAAAACGTTTGAAAGCAACAAAATATTTGGACTCTTCTGCCGATGAGCCTCAAACCAAACGGCCAGCGCTGTGATTATTAATATTCATAGTTATTTTATTCCACATTTTGACCCCAGCCTGTCTGCAGATATTCCAGTTATCAGAGCGTAGCTACAGGTCGGTGAGGTCTACTTCCTGAAATGTATCAACAGCGCTGCGTGCTCCGGTGCCGATGGCCCCGAGTGGTTTCTGCCATGACGGTCTTTGCATAACTGGAGCAGATTTCTCTTTTATTTATAGATTTTTGTATCTCTGAATCAATATTTGAACATTGGGGCGCTGTGGTTTGTGCGTTGGAGGGTTAGGGTTATTTCTGGATGTGTGATGGAAACACGTTCAGATGTGAGCCAGTACAAATGTATCACAAACACGATGACATACCCTCGCCATCTGTTAAATTTAAAACAGGCGTTGTTAAAAAAAAAGCAGACATTTTGTTCGCAACACCTCCAGCTCGGATGGATTCAGACTCTCTGCGGTGTTAAGAGAAACTTTCAGGAAGCACTGGAGCGTGGCGTGTTTCAGGAAATAGTCATCCCCATGACACAGATATGCCTGATGACTCTGGAAAATCCGTTATCGGTTGTGATTCAAATCGAAGCTCAGCATTGAACAGAAGTGTTGGTACTTCCTGATTCTCTCAAAGCGTGGTCATCCTGAGCGGACGAACTTACTCTCTACCTCGGGGTTCCCAGACTTTTATCTTCTGACCTCCAAATACAAACATCACCGACAGGAGACCACAAATATTCGTGGTTGACCTTCAACAGTGTAGTTTCATCCCAGCACACGTGAATTAAACTCACTTTGTTCCACCATTTATCTAATATAACGAAACAATGCGGGCAGGGAATTAATTCTAAATGTACCTGGAGATGACCTCAGGACCCCCACACTGGTGGTCTTGGGTCTAACAGGAGGCCTGACTCCAGCTTTGGGACCCACGGCTCTGGTCTGGGGGTCGTTGGTGCATGGGAGTAAGGCTTGCATCGTTCATTTCTCTTCTTCTCTGCCAGTTAAAATGTTTCATTTAATTTTAATTTTCCCTCCCGTCAGCGTTAAGTTTATAAAGGTATCCATGGAAACGTATCTAATACTGATTAAAATGTCATTCCTTAGCTTTCTGTTTATTGTAGCCACATAAACCCAAAGTGAGATGAAAGTATGAACTGAAATCAGCTTCAAAATCAGAAATCCACATCAAACGGTGAAAGATAAAGAACTGATCTGAGATTAAAGGTCCTGGTGGACCTCCTGCAGCCCGCTTTCCTGTTAGTTGGACCGGATTGAGTTTGGTGTTATACAAAAACAGGAATAAAAAACTATCTGGACTTTGAGGAAAGCACCACCCTTCTGCTTGATCTCTTCCTCCATCCAGTCAAATCAAGAGTCCAACTTTAAAACAATAAAACAAATTATTACTCGTCAACGCCTTTTGACGCTACCTTGTTATTCTCTGTGTTACTAGACGTTGTGAATGAAGAAACAGACTCAAAAGGCATACTCACACCTGCTCGCTCACCCCACCCCCCGCCCCCCGTTCTTTCTGCAAGCCGGTCCGGTCTGAGGTCTGAGGCCCTCTGAGATCGGGGGAACCTCACAAGTGGCTGCCAGCAGTGGTCCGCTGACAGCTCCCTGTCGTCTCGTATTGTTCCAAAGCAAGACAAGAAATGTTGTTAAGCAAACACTTTAGCCCATAAAAAATTAAAGGTTTTGGGATAAAGAACAAAAATAAAATCTGGATCCGGTATTCAAATCTAAGAAAAACTTAAAAGGCTGAGAAGGGAGGGCTTTCCTCCCGGTCGCTGCGTCTGAGCAGCTGGCTTACACCAGAAGCTCATCAGGACCAGACTTTGTTTGGCTTCGTCCTCTGTTGGAGTCGGGCTACCATTAAAAGCTGTAGTCACTCCCAGCTGTGTCAACCAGTCATCCCATCTGTCCCACCCAAACACGTCTCCCCTCCCAAACCAAAGTCCCTTGTGACTGTTTTGTACTTTAGCACCTCTTGTCTCTCCCAGTAAAAGTCCAGACAGATAAAAACACCAGAATAGAAACCGCTGCAGTTCCTCAGGCATCTTCTGCCCTCCACCCTCCCAGGGGAGGGGTTAACAAGTCTTAGGGCGGCACGTAGGGGGGCGGAGATCTGTAGGGAGTCATGTTCTTGGGACGGGAACCCTTGCCCTCCATGGGAGTGGTGAAGGGAGGTGGAGGCTGGTAGGGTGGTGCGTTGGGGTCCTCATCTCGCAGAGCTGTGTACTCCCCCAGCAGCTCCTGGTTTAGGGGAGTGGTCTCTGGAGTGGCCATGTTGGGGTACTCAGGGGGGGGGAAGAGGGGGTTTCTCCTCCTGGAGAATGAGGGGCATACTAGAGGACGGAGGAGGTTTTGAGTCATCGAGTTCATCTGCAAAGATGATTGGCACACCTTTTTTGATGAAGGTGGCCTGGTCCTCAATGGTGAGCTTGCCCCTTCGTTTCTTCCTGTAGCAGATCATCGCAATGATTCCTGCGATTAATAAAATGGCAGCCACCACCACAGCCGGAATGACCGTGTGAAGGTACACGTCATCTGTGCTGTCGCGGCTTGATCCCACACCTGGAGTGACTGCAGGGGGTTCAGGTATATCCATCTCTGCTGGTGGGATAAAGGAATATGTTCGGCAGCTTGCTCGTCCCTTCACTTTGACGTCCAGTGGTCTGAAGTCGGGCTCCATGTTGTCCCTGAATTTCTGTGAGGGTCTTCCATCAGCATTGCCAAGCGTCCTGCTCATAACTATGAGCTGTTCTTTTGGACACGGGTGCTGGGGAAGGCTGGTGTTTGTCCATTCGACCATAATTGACCCTTTGCTGATGTTCCTTAAACTCACGGTGCTGCTGTTTCGGTCCCCAAGTGCATAGGCCAGTTTTTTAACCAGAAGGATCTTCTTGTGGATGTCATTGGTGACAGAGCGCGGATCGCCATCGAAGCGAGCCGTGAATATGACAGGGGTTTTATCATTGGCAGGCCAGCGCTTCACTCGGACTTCAAACGCATCGACTGCATTAAGGCCACCTTTGTCAGTTGCATGCATGAAGTATTCGTGTTTACCTATGTGCTGAACGTCTGGAAGGCCATAGAGGAGTTGGCTGGTGGTGTTGAACTGGATCCAGGATCCCTCTCCAACCACTTCGTTGTGGTTCTGTCTCAGACTGAGACGTAGTTTATCAGTTGTTCCATCCTCTTTATCAAAGAATGTATCAGAAGGGATCTTAACCTCGAAATAGGTTCCCACCAAAGCAATGACCTGGTCAATGGCATTTCTCAGGACTGGTTTCTCATTGTTTGGATCTAAAACGACACCAGGTGATGGTGTGGTACTTCTGGGCGGTTTGCGTGTGGGCCCCTTGGATGGATCTTTGTATGCTGGAGTGGTCATGATCTTCTTTCCTGGTTTCTTGGTGGTTTTGACCAGCGTAGGGGTGGGTTCCACAAAAATAGACCTGGTCACGGTTGGCTGGATGGAAATTGTGCTGGTGGTCTCCATAACACTTGTTGGTTGAGGGGGTACAATTGTTGGAGTGTGGGCTATAGGGTCACGGACTCTGATTGTAGGCTTCCCTGGAAGAGGAAATGGGCCTCTAACAGGGAGCGTAGAACTTTCTGTAGGTGCTGCAATGGACGGAGAGGAGAGGGTTGGGATAATCCTCACTGGTGGCTCCACCACTGTTGTCGGAGGAAGCACTGCCAGAATCGGTGTCGGGGTGTTGTTTAACTGTCGCCTCACCCGCTTTGCGATGTGGGGCTTCTTGTTGGCGATGTGCCACCCCACCACAGGGTATCCCAGCCTGGCTGACATCGTGCCTTCTTTTGCAGGACCCTGGATGCTGTTAATATTTGGAATGGTGCTCTGGTCCAGCGAGCAGCCGAGCTTCCACGACAACAGAGCGCCGTTCTCCACCACCTGAAGAAACAGACACCTCCGTTAGCATCACGGACACATTATTTTCAGGAATGTTCACTGAACACAAACACAGCGACGGTAAAAACCAGTTTAGCCTCCCACTTATTGCATCACATGCATGTTGGCTTGATTTTCAGCTGCTTTGGGATTGTAGGAATCTTTTAATATTCCTCAGAGCCATTAGAGTTCCCAGTTGTGTAAGCCCAAAGTTTGCCGCACTCCTTTGTTTTGCAAGTTCACGCCTGGGGGTGGGGGTGTCCCAATTATTCACACGATACACCCAACAGCTACCCCGGTGACTCAACTCACCACACCTCACCCTGTGAGCATCACGGCCATAAATAACACACATGTTTACATTTCTTTTCTGTCAGATGTAACATTTCTCTGGATTTTAAAGCTCCACGATCTGATTACTGCCATGTTTCTCTCAATCGACTGATTCAACAAGGAAAATATAAGTTTCATATGTAGATATCATGAATATTAATAAAAATCTTTTGTTCTGTGGGCCGATACCCATGTTTATACAAACACTGGCCCATTAGTATTTTCTTGTTTCCAGTATTAAAGCTGGATTTAACTGCTGGTTCTGACAGGAAGCTTTCGTCCTGCAGCTCAACACGCTAACGAGCGTTCATCTGCAGAAACATCCGGTTTTTCTCCGTACAGTTGTTTCTGAACACGAACGTTAAAAAACGAGAACAGAACACTCTCAGTTTTCAAGTTACTGACTGTGAACAGGCAGCCGGTGGAAAATGAAGGAATGATCATTAATATTTCTCTGAATATTCTGAAAGTGTTCCCATTTCATCCAAGATGGCTGTTTTTGTCACTTCTGGGAAAATTAAAAATGTTACCCAATGATTCTCAGTCGGGTCATCTGGACAGTTTCTGACTGATGAAGCCCTCTGGATAGAGGGTGAAACGTCTCTATAAAAAAGAAATGGTCCAGATGACCAGACTGAGAATTAGAAAGTCGCAGGGCATGCGAATTATGCGAATTATGCAAAAAACTGACTTATCGGGCGAAAATACGGTACTGAAAAACATTTTCTGCAGAAGCATCAGCAGGTTTCTGTAACTCTTCAACAACGTTCAGCGTCCAGCAGTGCCCAACATAAATCAATCAATCAATCAATCAATTATTTAGCTGCAACAAAATGCAGACATACTATTAAACTAAACATTTTTTTAGTTTCATCCATAAATTTTAAGAAATCTGGATTTAAATGTTTTCTGAAGACGCAGAAACCCAGAGCTTCATTTCCTCTCACGCCTTCCTATTAATATTTTAACCTGTTCTTTCTTCTTCTCTGGATTTAATTCAAACTCAAAAATCTGATTTCTGAGTTTCAGATTATAATCACAGATTTCAGCTTGTGTACATTTTGGATTAATTCATGTTTTATTTCACGCTTCGAGTCATTTTGGGTCAGATTTAAAGAACCTTTATGGTTTTTGAACCGAACTGCGCCCGCTGCAGTTTATCTGAAGAGATGAAACGTTTGAACGTGATTCTAACCGCAGCTTGATTGGCCTTCTTTATGTCTCGATACAGAAAACTGTGACTTCAGTGAAGGTACGTTTTCCTTTTCACCCACACCTCACTCGTTCACCCATTCATTCAGTCACCTTCTTGGCGTTTCCAGGCCCGGCCATGAAGGCGGACATGTCGAACAGCTTGTTGTTGACCACAGGGAGCATCTTCATGCTCTGCAGCTCCACCCCAGAGAAGCTCCTCATGCTGTCCAGGAGCTCCACCCTCTGCTCCGAGCTCATCTTGGTCAGGTCGGCGTCCAGGATCACGGTGAGCACGGTGACCGGCTCCTCGTTGCTGCACAGGAACGGCTGGCCGTGGTCCTCGGCGGCAGCCTGGTTGGACAGCAGCTGGGAGGAATCTGCGTCCAGGTGGTCTTCAGGGTGCACCTCGATGGAAAACACCTCCGAAGTAGATGAGGATGAGGAGGCTTTGGCGTGTTTAGAGATGGTTACAGAGATGTAGTTCACTCCTTTATCCTCATCCAAAGGTAGACCCTGCAGGACCCTGCTGCTGGCGTCCCAGTGCAGCCAGGTGGGGAGGGAATCCTTCCCCATCTCTGTGACCTGAAAGATTCACAACAAAACAGGAAATGAAGCAAAGTTGCAGCACAGAGAAGCTTTCAGAGGCTTCAGGCCAGGACTGACTGAATGTTGATGGAAGTGAAGCCTTTTGGCAAAACTCATGAAACCTTGAAATGACTGCAGAGCGCCGACGGGCTGCAGCTCCTCCAAAACACACCAGGTGCCATAAACAACCAGGCAGCCAGGCAGCTGCAGGGACCTGCTGCAGAGACCTGCTGCAGGGACCTGCTGCTGCAGGGACCTGCTGCAGGGACCTGCTGCAGGCACCAGGCTTCAACAAGACCCCCCCACATGTTAAACACATGTAAAAGAAGTCGTCCGATTCACACACAACTACATGAAGACATTGACCAACCATGAGGCTGATTTAAAGAAATGATGCGCAGGGGAGTGACGACTCCTCCATGCACGCCCCCTCGCCTCATCCCACCCCCCACCCCCCCCGTCCTGCAGCTTAAATCCTGTTTAATAAGTGATGTACAGACGGCGCTCCCTGCATGCATCAGTAAAACTACACGTCTGAGACAAAGAGGACGGGACACACGAGGACAGAGACAGAATGTCCATGAGACGTCGACAACAAGACGTCCAGCTCTGTCCGTCACGTTTCTCCCAGAGATGAGACGAGACGTTCCACTCATCCTCCTTTCACCTTCTCCTTTATTAAACTCCTCTAAGAGCAAAATATAAACGAGTTACTGCGACGAACATTTGCACTTTTTAAACTCTTCACAGCAGTAGAGCGAACAGGAGTTTATTAAACAGTTTAAAGAATTATTTAGAGGTGGCCAAATGTATCCTGAGACTAGGACACCCCCCTGAGATCCCCCTGAGACCCCCCCGAGACTGAGGAGTCAGCAGGAGATTGTTCAGAGATGGGCAGAGGTTCAGCAAAAACTAGAGGAACTTTCAGAATAAAGGTCCTGAATGAAGACTTTAATCTCCATCATCTTCAGTTCATAATCTGATCCACAGATTACAGAAGAATCTGAAAAAACCTGAGCTCAAAGGACGAGGCCCTCAGGGGCCCCTGCACTAAAACCAGGTCTGGTTCTGGTTCTGCTCTGGGCTCAGATTCACTTCTGGATGTTGTGGTTCCTTCGTCTCAGATGATGCTTCAGCAGATCTGGACAGATTTCAGGGACTCTGTGGGTCCAGACTCATGTTTTTTTATTTATTTATTTATTTATTTATTTATTTTTTTTGGGGGGGGGGGGGGGGGGTGTTCTCGAGTCCCTCTGAGTCTTGAAGATGGCCCAAAATGTTTTCAGGAGCCGTGAGATTTAGGAGCAGCTCGCGGTGCGGTCGGGTCTCTGCAGTGAGAACGAGTTCAGAGTCAACCACAGAAATGAAAATGTGAAACATTTGTTCATCAGAACCAGAACCAGAACCAGAAGGAATGGACCTCCAGCAGGTCTGCCTGCAACACGTCTAACCAAACTGAAGTGGCTCCACTCAGGAGGAAATCTTTTATTGTCCGTTTAAAATGAGAAAATAATCTGAAGCCCGGGATGATAAAACCCAGCAGGGCTCTGTGGCAGGAAGCTGATGATTTTATTCTGAAACTCTGGCAGGAAGCTGATGATTTTACTCTGAAACTCTGGCAGGAAGCGTGGCGGGCGATATGCATTCCTTCAAGGATTGCCAGCCCTGGAACTTTATAAACATTTGTCTTCGTAAACTTGTCCACAGCCCTCGGACCTGAGGACAGTCGCTGTGGTCAGAACTGGACCAGAACCAGAAGTGGACCAGTTTGGTAGAAGTGGTTGGGTCTGCAGTGATTGGTTGATCTTTAACCTCTTTGTTTTAATATGAACGTATCAATAATGCTGCCCCCCCCCCCCCACACACACACACACACACACAGAGGCGAGTTGAGAGGAGACGGAGAGGAAGAATGAGCAGAAAATGAGGAGGATATCTCCTGAAGAGAGATATGAGGAGGAGGCGTGGAGTCTGTTGGCAGGGAGAGAAAGCAGCTCGTTGTTGCAGGAGCAGGAGGAGAACACGAAGAAAGGAGGCCATTGTTAGCAGGAGCAGATAAGCCTCATAATTTTGTAGGAGGCGAAGAAGGATGATGAGGATGAAGAGGTGCCGCAGCAGCTGAAGAGGGATGGGATGATGGAGGGAGGGAGCACGCTGGCATAGTTCATGGAAAATGTGAGGCCAAGGAGCTGCGAGGGAAAAGGGGGAGGAGTCAGAGCGATGGTGGACGTTTACGAGGGGAAATCCATCACGCAGCCCATTTTCTACCGTTAAAATGTAATTTGTGGCTGAAGTTCACAGCAGGAAGGTTCTGAAGCCAGGGACAGAAACACGCCGGGCTGTAACGGGTCCAAAACCCACCGATCAGGTTCGTTTAAAGGGCCCACCTGACAGAACTGAAGACCACCTGCAGAGCAAACACTCAGGTGTTCGGCTCTTCACCTTCTGTGTGCAGAGCGTCACAAACTGCTCCAAACTAACCAGATAAAACTCAAGATCTCAGCAGATCTTTGTGATCCGCTCAGCTTCAGCCTGAACTCTTCTAAACGTTCAGATTGTTTTTTTCTGACGGGACCAGCTCCGTCCATCCTGGTCCATCACTGCTCCTCAGCGGCAGGTGTCCCCCAGGGCTCCGGTCTCGACTCTATAGTTTTCTCTGTATTTGCTGTGTGGGGTCCATCACTAAAGTGTCTAAAATCACAGTTTTACTGATTTGCAACCAAATATCAGACTTAGTTCCCTGTAAAAATAAAAATTAGAACAGCTGACAGCTTTTGTTTTACTTTGTGATTAAATAATTTGGTTTTCTGAAGCGGTTTGTGTCAAACCTACTGCAGCTGTGACACTTTTCATTTGATTTAATTTAATATTATTTGTGTTCCTTTCATCCTAATAGTTTTTATTGTGAGTTTTTCCTTTGGATGCAGCTGTTTGAAGATGTGAACATCCTTGGCAGTTGGTTTGAGAGAGGAGTGAAGGAGGCCATCTTTGTGAAGAGAACCCGACCATCATTAAACGGGGGCGGAGCCTCCATGTCCAACTGTCCCTCCTACAATGCTGTGATTGCAAGTATCACTCAGCCCCTGTGAATAGCAAGCGGCCATCAGGACACTAACAATCTGTCGTTAGGCTGATGGTCCATCATGTGAACAGCTAGTTCTGGATGTCAACATCAAACTGGTTGATCCACAATGAGAAGGTGCTATTTATAAGACTGAGTTTGTTGCAGCTCCTCAGACTGAAGAAGTCCTTTGGATAAAAGATGAAATGAAACAAGAAGAATCCGTCCAGAGGACCTGACTTTACTTTTTTAGATCCTTCATTGTTCTTCTCCAAACACGCAGCAGTTCTGCTACCGTGAACAAAACTCAAGTCCAGAGGCAGAACCTGGTTCTGATCCAGTCTGAGTCCAGATAAAAGATGAGCGGAGCTGCTTGAGTTATGACCCCCCACCCCCGAAACCAAACACGCTGCAGGAACAGGTTCTGATCTGGCTCGATTTTAGGATCCACAGTTACATAAGAAGACTGCTGCACACAAATTGTGTGCGTCTGTGTGTGTGTGTGTGTGTGTTTGTGTGTGTGTGTGTGTCTCTCTGTGTCTGTGTGTTGTTTTAAAGATTCAAACCACAAAACCTGTCCCTGTTACAGCCTCATTAAAGGATGATGATGGAGAGAGCTCAAAGATGTAAACCTTGTGTTGAACACACACACACACGCACACACGCGCACACACACACACGCACACACACGCACGCACACAGACGGGTGTCCAGAGCGTGCAGCAGAAGCTGAACACGGTCTGATTCCAGCTGAGCTGCAGACTCAGATGTTCAGCTGCGCAGAGTCTCACCAGAAGTCACACTGAACGTGAGAAGAAGCAGGAAGTTGGTGCCCGACGTGTGTGCACGTGTGTGTGTGTGTGCGCAGCGATAGGGACGAGCAGAAAGTGAGGACGTGAGCGCAGCGTGGAGTCTGCAGAGCGGCCTCAACTTCACAAACACAACGCTGCTGCACCGCGCTGGACACAGGACAACACAGCAGAGTGTACACAGAGAGACGCGCACGTGTGTGTGTGTCAGAGTGTGTGTCAGCGTGTGTGTTGTCTCACAGCAGGAGGCTCAGTTCCTGCAGACTCCGCTCCAGTTCTGACTGGTGCTGAAGTCTCTCCTCAGTTCTCTTCAGAACCACCTGAGCCCGCAGACCCTTCAGCAGAACAGGCCCCGCCCCCTCCTCACACCCACAGAGAAGCCACACCCTCCTATGTGCCTGCACACACACAGGTGTGTGGGTGAACCACAGAATGGTTGAACAGATGGTGATTTATGTTTGTGCCTCGGTTCTGATGAAGAGCTGGACACTCCTCGTCGGGTCAGAGTTCTGGATCTGTACGATGGATGAAGTGTGACAGGAACACCTCCCAGAAGCTCCTGTTGGCCCCGTGAGCTGTCAATCAAAAGCTCAACATGCCGTCGATCGTTAGAAGTCTCTGAGTCCAGAAGGTTTCCATGGAAACAGGCCGATGATGGACAGGAGAGCTCAGAACCAGCTGAAGATTCCAGTCTGGGCTCAAAGGTTTATGAACCTGATCGGACCCTCAGACAGCAGAAACGGTTCTGTTGGGCTGAGCTGCTCAAACAGAACCAGCTGCGGTCCGTCTTCCATCGATCCAATCAGAGTCAGAACTTTTACACTAAACGCCCCCACAGAGCTTAAAACCGATCCAGTCCTTCATTCGGCTGATCCAAAGTTACTTCAAGCCTCACAACAAACGGTCCAAAAGAACATTTGGTTCTGACCCGGTAAAAACAGTCTGCTGGCCAACATTCTTTCACCTGTGGAGGATTCTGGGAGCTTGGAAATGATCTGACGGGGCGTTTCATTGACGTGCGAGCAGAGCTGGACTTGGACTCTAAAGCCCGACCCGCGGGTCCATCACAGAACTCTGGACTCTGTGACATGAACGACCTGGAAAACAAGCAGACAATTAGAGTCACGCAGCCATCGTTTCTGCTGACATGTGGACAAACGGACGGGCCCAGCACTTTGGACCCTGATCCTCCTGACTTGGATCTGCTCTGATGGACTCGGTTGGTTCCTGGTCCTGCTGAGCCAGGCGGCCCGGGCCCAGGACTTGGATCTGCTGTGATGGACTCAGTTGGTCCCTG